CCAGTCTCGTCTCCAAAGAAGTTGTTAAAAGTGTACTATTTACTTGAGACCTAGACCATGCTTGGGCACATCCGATCGGACCTGATTACTCTTCTCAATTTATCTTATCACAGTGAAATTTTTAACGGATTATGCGTAAACACGTATCTAAAGCTACATAATTGTTTAAGTCACGTTGCTCAATTGTCCGGCATGAAACATCATTAAAATGTAAATTTTCCTCTCCAGATAGGCCAATACCATTTAAGAAGCTAAATAACAGCCCATAAAAAAGAATTTCTAGAATTACAGAGAACGCGCAAATAAAATGTCGAAACATTTATAATCGAGCATCCATTTGCAGGTAACATATCGAAGAAACATACGTAATAGAAAATGTTTATCACATACTTTATAACGAGACTTAATATTTCAGTGCTGCATATTATTATTTAGGAAAAGTATACAATTTGAGTAACACCCCTGCAATTAAAATAAATAATAAAATTTTTTTTATTAAAAATTGAAAATTTTTCAAATACTCGAATTATTTGTTAATGTTTATTTTCATAGGTATTTATAGAATAACTGTTATCCTTCTTCCCTGATTAGTACATCTGCACTTGTCCCGTTCCTAGAATCGTTTTTCCCCCGATAACGAAGCATCGCGCGTAGAAACATTATTCTGCGCTTTCGATTTATTACTAAAACCTGCTAGAACGTTGCGATTAAGAAATGCTAGATTATTAAATTCGTGATAAACAGCTTAAAGCAATGGGCCTTCGTTCGATCGGAATCTAAAAGCGTCTAAAGCCTGACGAAGGAAAGTTTGCTACCTAATTGATAGTATCTTTCTAAAATATTTAAAAATTGATTTTCATTTAAGTTATAAAAAAGATCGACGAAATTGTCCATTCTTATTAAGTTGTTTATTTTGTACGAAGTATTTTCTATGAAGTTTTAATGAAGTTAGAGAAGTCTAATTCGTGTATTCTTCCATGCAAAGCTTATAATATAACGTGTTGTAAATATTAATATTTTAATCCCCCGCAGATGGTTAAACCCAATAGCTTACATCGAACGTTGAACAGTATTTATTCAAAAATTATACCAACAGTGTCGTAATACATATCAAGATTCTTTTTAGGATTAAGATACTGTGCAATAAGTCCCTTGAATAACAAAGCCTATTTAATTTCAACATACATGAATTATTAGTTGTAATAGAGAGCGAATCCTAGGAATTGAGATAAGTTGTAACTTTTTTCTAATAGAATTCGAGATTAAAGTGAAGGACATTGAATAAAAAATAGATACAGTGCATTCAATCATGATATCGTATCGATTGGTAAATAAAAGTCGTCGAAAACTAGTTGAACAAATTCGTAAATAAATTTTCCCTTTTCCTTCTATTCACCATATTTTTACATACAGGGTGTTCGGCCAAATCTGGGAAAAATTTTAATGGGGGATTCTAGCGGCCAAAATAAGACGAAAATCAAGAATACCAATTTGTTGATGGAGGCATCGTTAAAAAGTTATTAACAATTAAATTCAAAAATTTCAAATCGTTCGGGAAAAATTACTTTCGGTTGCGGGGGTCAATTGCAATCATTTTTGGTGAATAGATATACCCCCAAAATCCTAACCATTTCCGAGAAAAAAATTCAGGAAGGGGGACAAAGACGATAAAATTTAAAAATTTCAAATCGTTCTGGAAAAATTATTTTCGGTTTCGGGGGTCAAGTGCAATCATTTTTGGAGAATAGACATACCCCCGAAATCTTGCACATTTTCGAGAAAAAAATTCGAGAAGGTGTGAAATTTTTCAACGGGGAAAAAAAATTTCAAATTGTTTTGGAAAAATTATTTTCGGTTGCGGGGGTCAATTACAATCATTTTTTATCATTACACATATCCCCGAAATCCTATGCACTTTTGAGAAAAAAATTCCTTACCGAAAATCTAATTAGGTGCCCAAATTCGACGAAAAAAAAACTTCAAATCATTCTGGAAAAATTATTTTCGGTTGCGGGGGTCAATTACAATAATTTTTGGTGAATAGACATACCCCCGAAATCCTGCGCATTTTCGAGAAAAAAATTCAGTACGAGCAGAACTTTAAACGTTAATAACTTTTTAACAAAGCCTCCATCGACAAATTGATATTCTTGATTTTCGTCTTATTTTGGGGTCTAGAATTCCCCATTATATATGATAATTATAGAACGTTTAATTCCTTGTTTTAAACCAACCTTGAATTACCAAAACTAACCAACGGAAAGGGTGAAACTCGTATTTGTTCTTCTGTTAATAATACTCACGAACACACTGAGGTTAAACGATCTCTCGTGCAGATCGACGCAAACCACTGTAATAACCACGAGCGATCGGCCATGAAACAATCGGAATCCCGATTACTACGACGACTGGTGTTTACTGACTGATCGTCGAAACTTGCTGAAGGGGACTCATTACGATTACAGCGCGTTACCCTCGATCCCGGAGAATAAAGAAACTTCCTCTCAACTAAATTCAATTGAAATCTACAGAACATCGATAATCGATTCCGATTAATTACCTAATAGGAAATTTCTAACGATTACGAACCTACCGGACATGTAATAGTAAACATTCGATGGCGAATGTATACATTCACTGACCTTTCACTTTTATAGTAACACTCATGTACGAAAGTATTCGACGCTTACATTTTACAACATTTATCTAACGAAATGTGTATGTTAATATTAAAGGATTTGATATATGGAGGAAACGAGTAAGCGAGATGGCCGAATCAGTCAGGTACTTGTGAGAAAGCGTGTCCCTCTAATGGCGAGTGTGACAAGTGTCGCTACTCTTATAAAAGAGATGGATATATTTTACAATATATTATAAACACGTTAGCTTACAGAAATACTTGAACATTTATTAGTTATTCGAATCAAAGAAAGTCTTAATAGGAAGTTGGCTTGCGTAGCAACACTAATTGTAAGTCTGTCTTCTAGTAAACAGAATTTAAAAGTATCGTTGCAACAGTATTTCTACTTCGTTCCATAAATATTTAACAGAGTTTAAGTCTGGGTTTTCCACTGACTGTGGTAACATCAAATCTTATACAAATAATTGCAATACATATCTCGTTTGAAACACATTAGTACGTCAAACGTGAAATGTGTAAAATTCATTCATTAGTAATTTGTATAATCTGAATTTTAAGGAGGGTCTTAACGACAACCCCGGTTGCAATCATGAATAATAAATAAATTTAATAGATGATAAATATTTTTTAGATCTAAAGCTACGAGAATTCGTTTATTATTCCTATACCGAGAGTTCTTACGTACATTAGTAATTTTATTCACTAATGATGAGTTCGTTTCGCGCAAAACAGACGCATATAGCGACTCGCGACTCTCGACTTCTCGTCTTGCATGTTTGTTCTCGCGGTTTGCGGTCACGATTCACACTTACGACTGTCAAAAAGTAAAACTAATGCGCCTGAATTATCGTAAATAAAATGAAACGCGTCCTAATTGGGCCCAGAATAGATCGAAGGATCCATTGTATCCGTTTATGAGACGCACGAATGAACGTTAAACATATCTGGTAGTATATTTTCACAGGATCGAGTGTGAAACGCTAAATTATTGCACGAACGTTCCAAACACTTCGTCTCTAATGTATATACTAAAACTATTGTCAAATTAAAATATTAATCATGGAGTCTTAGGTGTTCAATTTTGACACACCTGCAGAACAAAGGTCGTCACTATTTTACACGCGAAATATAATATAAACGAATTACACGTTACTCAAGGACCTTCGTTTCTTATTAACCGCACGTTGTTCTTCGAATCGCGTTCAACGTACATTTCCACATGGACGATTTTTTGGCGAACGAAGGTCCTCGAATTACAGTTTTCTTTTTACCGAATCGAATGCTGCGTGTGTGTACTGAAACGCGTCCTTTCGTGCCAAACCAGTTTCGATCGGATACTACGCGTCCTTCATTTCTATGTAATTGTAACGTATCGGGCCCCTTGGCTACATAAACGTATTGTCGGCGGATAAATAATTTCGCAAGAAAAAAAAAAAAAGAAAAAACAATGGAAAAAAATGTTGACAGCCAGCAGAACGCATCGATACGCCATCGATTTCTACCGGTTCTCCTTGGCATAAGAATTAGAGATAGGGTTACGGCTAAATTGTACCATAATTTGCCTCGACGAAAACAAAAAACTGTAGCGCGATTCGAGAATAGAAATGACACCGAGACGCAAAATTGCCGAGAACAATGACTGGAAAAAATTTTAATGCGGAATTCTAGAGACCAAAATAAGACGAAAATGAAGAATACCAATTTGTTGATGGAGGCTTCGTTAAAAAGTTATTAACGTTTAAAGTTCCACGAGTACTGAATTTTTTTCTCGAAAATGCGCAGGATTTCGGGGGTATGTCTATTGGCCAAAAATAATTGTAATTGACCCCCGCAACCGAAAATAATTTTTCCAGAACGATTTGAAAAATTTTTTTTCCGTCGAAAAATTTCACACCTTCTCGAATTTTTTTCTCGAAAGTGCGTAGGATTTCGGAGGTATGTCTATCCACCAAAAATAATTGTAATTGACCCCTGCAATCGAAAATAATTTTTTTAGGACGATTTGAAATTTTTTTTCCGGCGAAAAATTTCACACATTCTCGAATTTTTTTCTAGAAAGTGGGTAGGATTTCGGGGGTATGTCTATTCACCATAAATAATTGTAATTGACCCCGGCAACCGAAAATAATTTTTTCAAAACAATTTGAAATTTTTTTTTCAAACCAATAAACTTTCATATCTTAAACTATCAATAATCCTGAAAAATAGAAACTGAAAAGTGTGGATAGTGGTTAGAGTGCAGATGATTTAAAATAGCGGTATTGCAAACAACCTTTGCTTAATAAAATTAAAGAAAAAAGTAGATAATAAAATTATTTTCTCGTATCTATATTTACTGAAAATAAACAATTGAATTATGTTTTACAAACATATGAATAACATTGTGAACAAAATTGAGATACATGCTTGAGGATGCTCGAAAAAAGAAAACGAGTTACTTACACGAGTAAGATTAGGTCGAGTGGGGCTGCGAATGCGCCAAATTAACTGTAGGATGATTACCACGAACATTGAAATATTCCTAAAAATTTCTAGCCTTTATTATTTTACTCCATAACTATACGCTTAAACATGTTTTATTATTAGGTGTAGTCATTCGTAAGCCTTAGACTATAATACATTTATACATGGGCGATGCAGCTACTCAACGCTATAAAATACACAATAAAAAATATTATATGGTTGACTGCATTGTGTGGGATACAACTAATATGTATATAAATATATTACAACGATCGTAATACCGATAACGAGATGTTTAACATTTTTTTTTGGAACTTTAAAAAATGAAATTAAAATGGAATTGTGCACGTTCATGAAGTAAAGATGACAGTTTAAGTACACCTTACATAACACAACATTTTTAATTTAAACATCATTAACTTGTATTTACATTTAATTATCCTTCTTCATACGATTGGAGGTCATTCTGTATATTATCGAATCCCGTCCTGGATCCATTTGTGAAATGGCAACTGCATTTGTAACAAATCAAAATTAGACAAAAAAGACCGTCGTACACACTAGTCGATTAAACAATAAAAATTATTACGTACTGCAAATAGCAAGGAGCGAAAAAACAAAAACAACTCCAAACCATAATAGAATATTAAAGATGATAGGATAATCCGCCGAGTATACTTTCGCAAGATTATGGATCTTCTGCAACAAACAAACTTGATATTTTAAACCGTTACGACAACCTGCTGCAACATCAGAAGAGCTTTTAGCACTCAATACGCTTGTTACGTTTGTTCTAAATTTTTCAATGCCTAAAACTCAAAAGCTTTATGCATTTAAGCCGATAACTGGAAAAGACGAGTTAACTCGTCTTCTGTACACGTTTCTACGTCCTCCGTTTCTTCGACTCTTCGTCTACGTATCTAAAAACAATCTATGCATTTAATTACATCGTAATATTTGTATTAGTATAAATTACGTTATACTTGCATTCTCCGTGGTGAAAAACGAGTTAAACCGTCTTTATTCGTTTCTTAACTAAATGCTACTCCAGTAGTCGAATTAGTCACACTACGCACGTAAGATATAAATATACTTCTTATAACTTCACCTGCTCCGCGCATAATGTTACAAAGATTACAGTATTAAATTAATTTCGTTGAATTCTGTTTGTCTAGAATTCATCAGATATGTTTTAATTATTATTCTTGTCGGACTAAATTCTACAGATGATAAACTAAATCCAAATAGTCACGTTAGGTCTAATTTCCAACGGGGAAATGTCACAAATTTCACTATAGCGAAGATAAAATTAAAAAAAAAGAAATATAATAGTAAGGTTTCGATGCAATGTCTAAAATTAAAAATTCAATATTAAAAACGTGTACTACTGCGTATCGTTTCTCGAGACTTTATATTCACCGCCAATGGAAGCCTGTAACTTAAACTCTTCACGCCCTTGGCCACATATGTGGACGTTTAGTTGTTTTTTTTTTTATAATTATAATTACTGTCAATAAATAGACCAAAATAAAAAATCGTCCCTGAAGAGGTTAAATAAAACAAAATCTAGCGAATAAACATATAAAAATTAAAGTGTCGCCACGGCCATCGATTACAGCCGATGCTCGGTTGTGGGTGGGTTCGTCAATGCTCGTACAGATAGTTTAACGCATGAAATGTTGCACGATACAATGATAAATATATCTTAGATCCTAATATTCTGTGCTCGAATTCCATAATCGTACCGTAATTTAAAATTACTCTCTACCAGCTTGCTGGTTTTTAAAAAAACAGATTTTCGTATTAAATTTTTCCCCCATAAATATATACCATGCATTCTATCGAGTAATACACAGCGTCACACATTTCATGCATTGTCAATTTCCACTGTAACAGGAAAGCTACTTTCCAAGAGTAATACTAAGAAGCACTGCATTACAAGCGAACTTAATACATCTAACGTAAGAACGACGCATCGGAAACTGGGATTCCAAGTGTCTCCAGAGTTTTTGGTTGCACGAAAATATTTTCAAAAAAAGATATTTTAATAATATCCCCGCTATTTTGAACAGTACGAATCATCTTCTGTTATAAAACTGAATTTTGTTGAAATTACAGCTTTCGAGGTTTCAAGATCGTGCGGTACGTTTAAGTGGAATTTGAAATATCATAAATAGCTAATAAATTTTTTCTTTTTATATTGCGATTCTTCGAATCGGACATTCCCGTCTTCAAACTGTTTTCGTATCAACAAAAATTCTGGGAATACTTACAATTCTATTCTTAAGAGACTCGTCTGTACATGTGCATATACAGGGTGTCCAAAATCAAATTTATTCAGAGATATCAATTTTGGATACGACGAACTGAACTTTATTTTATCTGCTTGTAATTTGAGGAATTTTATTTCCACTATATTTTCGTTGTTAAAACACAGGTGCATGCATATTGGACATCCCGTATATAATGGATGGTTACTAATATTATGAATAATTGAACGGAAACTTATTCAAAATTTCAAACACTTTCGCTAAGAAATGATTCTCGATGATAAAATGCTTAGCAACTTGTATGCTAAAAAACTATAAAAACTAAAGGCTATCGTTTTAAATTGTAGTACACTGTTGAAACAAACGGGGGTATATTGGTCATTTCCATGAGAAGTGTACCCCAATTTTGATCGTACAACAAATGTTAAAACAATCGGATAATATGCAAAAGAAAATTCTAAAATGCATATTAAAGTGTTTATAATACCTGTCCTATAATTTGTGTGTTAAAATATATGTTACTCTCCGTACTAGTCAATTCCTGATTAGATTCAGTGACTCCGCTATCGTCACGAAAATCACTTTTTGCAGTGGAATTGTTCACGTTACTGTCGTATTTGCTAGCGCTATCAATGTTTATGTTTGTATCCTCTTCGTCTTCGACCGTTTTGTTTTCATCTTGGTGATCATTTTGCTATAAGTACATGTATTTATGTGAACGATTTAAGGCCGTGTCCCGCTAGCGCTGAAGGGACGCGATACTCAAGTGATAATCACGCCGTCGCCGACACACATGGAACATGTACATTAGTGTACTCGATTACTTATCGAGAAGACCGCGTACATTTCAATTTGAACCTTAGTTAAGTTTCTTATCGTCTTCAATTCATATTTAAAACTGTAGCCACGTTTCAAAAAATAGTCTAATGAGAATCTAGCAATGATAGATCTACCGTTTGATGTAAACTAAGAAAACAAAAAAAGATATCTTACTTTAACCAGAAAAAATAAAAAAAAAGAAATTTTGGGACACCAGAAAAATGATAAATTATTACGTGGAGAAAAATACAAGACACTCGATGAAAATGAATATAAATAAGTATGAATGCTCGCGTTTGAACACAAATATTGTTTTTTTTTTTATCGGGCGTGAGCATCGCGTGAATGTTGCACACCTTGAGCGCTAATAAGAATCAACCTTTATGTTTGCAAAACTCAGAATAAACCGAATCCAATTCGGTCACAGTAGTTGTCCATTTTGTATCGTGTAAGAAATATAATTATTGTTGAGGAATGTTATGTCGAATTTTACCATAAATGTATAAAAATTCTGTTCGTGTTTATATACACCACTCCCGATTTTCATATTGTGCTTAAATTTGTGTTATCTCGATGTATACCTTATTATGACGACTACTGTGAAGATATAATGCATTGTTTAATGTATAACTTTGTAAGAGAGGCTCTTGATTGATTAAACGATAAAAAGAAAAATGATTGCTTTTAGTTTCAATGTTATCTATATCTCTCTTTATAATTGTTCCTACATTTCCTTGTAATCAGATTGCCCAGTATAGCAAGTGAATATTTCCAAGAAATGGTAGCTAAAATGTCTCAGAACGTTTACCCATCGGAAGTTTAGTTTCTTTCCATTAGAAACCGTTAGTTCCAATGCAACTGAGATACGATTTCATTTAAAAAGAAACTTAGTGACCCTGAGGGAGTCAATACTTCGATGGCTGAACACAAAAGAATTAATTTGCAAAAAAACATGTTCCCCTTGAAACACTTTAACATCGTATAATAACATTTTGTTATCACCAATATTTTTCACGATACTCGCTTGCTAATAAAATACATATATTACAATTAATTAATTAAATGTATCGAATATTTACTTCGGTTTGCTCTTTTGCATAAATTAAGCGCATTGTAATTACACGCGAATCTGTTCTTTAATCTTTTTGAGTTCCGATTAAAATATTTAATTGACTGAACTACCATGAACTTGGAGGTTATTGTCACTTTACAATCTCCAAAAAATTCAGCTCAGGAATGCGGAAGTACAAGGTCCAACCTTTAAAATAATCCCAACAAGATTACTGGACTTCTTCTCTTTGTAATAATCCCAAAATTAACAGCGTTTTAACCAAGTGTCCTAATATTGACGAGCAGCAATGTAAAAAAATGTACATGCGCCATTTTTAAAATAAACAGTGACGTCAAAATATGTAAAAATCCCATTAACCATAAAGAAGTTAATACTTGGAATCCATCGAAGAATTTTTTTTCTCAAAAGTTAACAGTTCTTTTACACAGACACGCGAACGAGTCTTCATGTTTGAAGATGCCTAATCGCTTTACCTTATATAAAAACCTTAACTGCTGAGAGCAAAATTCTCCAGCGAATTCCAGGTATAAAGCCCCTCTCATCAAAATGGGAAATTCCACATGACATAAACCTTATATTTTAAACGATTAAATAATTTTAAAAAAGATTATATTTCTGTTACTACTTTTGTGTACCTTACATTTTATATGTCTGTATCATTTTATGTTTTGACATCGGTCCAAGTTTTATGAACAATGAATGTCATCTTTGTATTAAATTTCTCGTTATTGTATTGCAGAGAACCTGGTTTAGTTAAAAAATGTGATCTGATCAATTTAAGACTTATTCGATTATGTATGTTGCACGATATTACTGTAGTATCGTTTTAAAAGAATTTTAAAGCAGTGCGAAAGAAAGTACCAAAAGCCTTGAGTCTTAATGTGAACCCTTTGTGCTTCAACATTTAAAATATTCAATAAACCTGATTTATTTCTATCCTAGTAGGTCACAATGCCTGTGCCTAGAAATCATAGTTAAAGTGCAAAGGGTAAAAACGTGTTGTACCCTAATAATTCTGAATTTATGTCCCAACATGATCTGTAGTAAAATGAAATGTTTATGTTGTACATTTCTTAACAAGTTAACGCATGAAACAAAAAGAATATATTTAAGTATCGTGTCATAAATATTGTACTGCATAATTGATCAACATGTTTAGAAACCATGCAAGAAGCTATCTCTAATTCAAAAATATATGTCCATGCAATAGTAATGACATACCTTAATTATAATATTATTATTATTAGTCAAATCTGCATCATTGTGCAGCTGTGTATGTTCCGAAGTAGATTCTACATTTTTAATCTTATCATCCTATAAAAGATATACGTGTTAGACATAGTTCACCGTTTAATGCGCGTACAATGTGAATGTAACTATTGTCCGCGCAAAGTAAAACCAATTGCTATCAAGGTTTCCGTACATTAATGTTTCTGTCGAAAATTCCAAATAGTACACCCAAGAATAGTGAAAAAAGTTTATATAAACGTTTGTCCTATTTAATCCTATTTTTGAGCTACAGACATTTTTGTATGGCAAAATTTCAGGTCAGTGAACTAATTGGAGAAAGAGGATTTTAATGGTAAAATTCGAACAACTCCACGGGGTTTAATCAATTTTTTTTACGATTCGTTTTACAATGGGGTTTAAGGTAGGAGCCTACCCTTTACAACGACCTCATAAAAATTGATGTAAGCGTTCAAATACTTCCGTTAGTCATTGTATATGTTTACTCCTACTAACCTAAGTGACCTGAAGATCACTTTATCTACACTATTGTCTCGCTTCTTCGCGTTTCGTTCCCAAAATAAAAGACGGAATATAGGCAACAAGGTTAAAGAGGACAAATGTTTACACGAACTTTTTCATTAATTTTGAGCGTCGAATTCACCTTGAAAAATATACGCATAATCATCGGTACACCCTGTCTAATCCACAATACTATCGTGTACACGATTAAACGATGTAAAATATTCTAAAACCATGTACCTGACATAATTATTACGTGAAAAAAATCTCAGTATATTTCAACCAACAAATAAGATCCAATCTGCCACCTATACCTGCAGCTTCCATAAAAATCAAAATATAATACAACTTAAAGAAATTAAAATATTCGGTTTATATTAAATAATAATTACATCAATCAAAAAATACAAAAGTTTCGAACTACTTGATGGAACGTAATTGTATCAGAAAATATGTAAATTTTTAATTATAGTAATTCATAGAAAATATATTGAAATAATTGAAACATTATATATTTTACTTAGTTTTTCTGTATAATGATATACTACAGTTTACACGTTCAAGTTTTCGTGTTCTATCGATGGTAAGAGTTTACATAAAGTTGATTGATGATCAGATATTAGTCCAATAAATTAAAATAGAATTTCAAATACAAACCGTCTCGTTAGTATCTCGTTTTTGCCTTCCTATTGTGACAGAGCGGATATGATGTACCTTGCTTGCATCGTTTGTGAAAGCCACAATTAATACCTGAAACAAACAATTTTTGACTTTGTACTTTAAACGATACTAACAAAACAATTGAAAATTTCGCGATCCCGGTCTTCGGAACAGAACAGGATCCCGTAAATGCCTGAGATTCGAATATATCGAATATCGAATATCGAAAATCGAATATCATATTAAAACAATAAAATTCTTACCTGGCCATCGTACGCCTGGACAAATGCATCGCGAATAATGTTCAGGGCATTGTTCAATAATGATAAAGCTTCCCTAGACGTGGTCGAATTATATCCATAATCATCAAAGATTGGACGCAAGCCAGATATAACCAGCCAATAAATATCAGATTTCGAGTCTGGTTTAATTGCAGAAGGTGCTTTCTTAGCGATAGCATGGAGCAATTGCACTTCTTCTAGGAATTTTTTATCATCTTCCTTCCTTAAGTTTAAGGCTTTCAAAGAAGCTTCGTCGATGGGGGTTGGCTTTAATTCACCAAGAGCAGACTGTCCTAGCTGAAATCATATTATTTAGAAATGACTTAAATTTTTTAATTACTTTTAATATATTCAAAAACCTATTATTTTATCATAATACTTACAGCATCAAGACCGTCGCCTAAGGATATTCTGACTAATGTATTATCGTTATCTCTTTCTTCCAAGCGTTCTCTAAGTGCCTGCCATGTAGTTTCTTCAACTTCATTGACATTTAAAGGAAACCTTTTGCCCCTAGGGATATCTAGAGACCCTACACCTTCTATTGCTACAGCGACTACAGCTTCTGGAAGACTGAACGGATCGGCAATAGAAATGCCGCTCCATGTTCCTCTCTGTAATAATATTAATTAGAATTAAAGTTGGAATATTATATCTACACCTTAAAATCGTATTCCATTGGTCTACTTGGTTAAAGCATAAAATATAAAAAAACAAACCTGCTTAACAGTGAAACCTAGAGCAGCAGCCAGTACTTCTTTGAGTAAGCTCTGTTCCACTTCTTCATTCCCGTTGAATAAAACACTGTTCGGACTGTGTAGAACTACGAAATCTCCGCTTGCTTTTACTGCAGTATTCGAAAAAAGTAATATTATATTTTATGTGATTACTAATCCTCGATATACTTAATTAACCGAGCAATTAAGAACTATGTTTCAATATATTATCTCGGAATTTATAAAGGACTCGTACCTGCAACGATTACAGCTATGAAACCCCAAAATAGTTTTAACATTGTTGTTTTAAAAGCAAGAACCGTAAAATTGAGACACTCCCAGGAATTCAATACCAATTCACAAATTGATCATATGACACGCAAACGTGATGGAAGCTCCACTGTCTGCTACTAACGCCACCGAGTCCACCGACACCGACTATACACTCGTTGGGAAAATAGATGCAGCGACATCTAAGAAACAAAAAACACAGAAATCTATGTCTATACAATTGTACAGAAGAAAATTTTTCTTTTTTTTCTATTTCTCCTGGCCTGCGAAATATTTTTACGATGATCCTGTAAATGAGATCACGGGAAAGGGATTTTCTATACGTTTTGGATAACAAAATTACAATTGGTATATCATGTGCTGAGAAAGTTATGAAAATTCTAAGTATTTTTGCATTATCTCGCTATTAGGACTATTTCTGGCGAACTAAAATTTTAACGGCCGGTTAATTCTAATTTCAAACATACATATTTTATAAAACGAACGTACATAAAACATAAGTAATTAGAATAAGTGTTAGCAAGTAGATATTTATTCATAGACAAAATAACAAAGTATCTTGAATAGTTACTGAACGAGTATTATTCCTTTTCAAAAATTTTAAACTAAACGGACAATCAAATTAATTACCGACTCGTCGATATGAGTCAAATTGATGGGTTCTGTAAATGTAATGTTAAACGTACTGTTAGTGAATATTTTGGACGACAACTTGTGGGAAACAATGACTGATTGAATTGTTTATTTGACCTTCTGTTAGTTGTTCGTTTATATACTTTTATTAAAAACACACACACATCTACGTCATCGTCATAAAATCTGGTGAGAAATTGACGAGTCAACTACGCCATTGCAATGCCCTCGACAAAAAAGAGGCGCCATCGTTCATTTCGTCTAGGGGATATAAAAAAACGCGGGATATCCCTAGAGTCGAAAAACTACGCTATTAAATCAAATTTTTAATTATAAATCTATCTCGTCGATCGGAGTGTTCCGTTTTATTTGCAGACGTTCGCAAATTTCGTTCTCTAAAGAAATTTATAGAAAGTTTTGAATTTCAACTAGATTTTGGTGACTTTACCTACGCTTGGTAGCACTTCCGGTAGTGATTTCTCCGTCTGAAATATCGACAGATATATTGCAGTCACTTTAAAGCACCGAAAGGTTTATATTGATGTTTAAAAATGTAACTAATCTGATAAAAATAAATATTTAATAATTCTGTATACAAATCCGTGAATCTTCATAAGTTTATCTGTGGTCCCTTTGAGGTTCGTAGACCATAGACTAGAGTCATCTATGTAGAACGTAAGTGGTACGTGAAATCTTTACAGGTTGTCGCTAGTGTTGTTTTTGGGCGTTAACAAAAAAATGTGAATATCAACGTACCATCAGCTTGTGGTCTATGGACATCTTACCTCGTGACTGGCTCAATTGATTATTAGTCTTATACAGTCTCGTATGCGGATTCACAAAATTGGTGTGCGTACTGAACATTCGGCAGGACGCAATCGTGCTAGACAGTGAATTGATAGTACATTCTTGTACTTCTTGCTTCTTTGCACTCGCTCGGAATAGCATATTCTCTATGCTAGTTTCAATTATTTGTACACAAAGACCAGTACAAATTCATTAAATCAAATATGGGTTCGCTTTTTCGGAGCGAGGAGATGACCTTGTGTCAACTCTTTTTGCAAAGTGAAGCAGCATATGCCTGTGTCTCGGAACTTGGTGAACTTGGCCTTGTACAATTTCGAGATGTAAGTTTTATGTTGTAATACCTCTTATATATATATTTTGTTTTCATACACAATTTTTTACACAACCTCCATATATCGATTTTAACACACTTCATAGTGGTAGATAATTTGAATATAAATATCGATCATTCTCAAGAATAGGAAAACTAGATTATATATCATTAGAAACTCTTTCAACCTTATGCCATCCTGAGTGTATTATAAGAGTAATATGTAAATTACTACTCTAATATTGGTAAACTTAAATACTATATCATTTAATCAGCTTGAAATATTCAATAGTTATTTACCAGTCAGTACTATGGAGAAATAATATTGCCACTCTTATCAATTTAATATTATTTAGTCAAAAATTTGATACAACATAGCGTATCAAATTGTGTATAATTATAATTTTAAATAGTTGTTGTATACAAGAAATATTTTTTAACTTTTGTTCTTACAAAGTGAAATACAGTATCACAGTGCACCAATGGATAAATCTGTCAAAATGGTACAATCTTACTGATCATTATGAAATTTAAGTATGTGGTTAAGGACATCATTTTGATCAATTTTTTTGTTTTCATATACATCTTTCTTATATACAAGGATAGTTTTAATGATATTATTGACTAATTTTAAATGATCTTGACTCTCGAATGGCGAATCGGCTTTACGATCGAACGGCGAACTCCGCGGCCATTTTGACTCGAATCTAAATTTATTTCTTTATTTATTAATCTTGCTGATTTTATAAGTTCACTTAATATCAATATTATCACTGTTATTCATTAAAAAATGAAACTTAACAACTCTGGAAAGAATAGTTTGCATGTGTCCAAATGGACCCGGAGCTCGTTAGGCGAAGATTAAATTAAAGCTAACGTTAGATGAAAAATTTAAATAGAAACAAATTTTTTATTTTATAAGGGTAACGACAGAACGAAAAACCAAGTGAGAAATTTAAACAATAAACTATTCAATTTATCTGTGACTGGTTCTTACGAGATGTGTCGAAATTTGGTTCCATCATTGACCATACATTTAATTCGTCCTTTGGGTGAATAACCAACATCTGAGATCTCAAGAATGTCTTCATTTGCATCACATATGAAAATGTTAATTTAGATCAGTAGGTTGTGCCACAGACATGGGTATTCAATAGCATTTTTCATATTACAACAGGATGTTTCCTCGTATTAAATGCAGTTTGAGATCAAATATTTTTTCACAAATGCTCAGAAATAATCAAAATGCTGCGAGTTCTCCTCACCTATTCTGGTCTAAATTCTCCAAAATAAAAAAGATCAACATTTTTAGAGTCTACACGATTTTAGCTGCCCGTGAATGCACGGCACTTTGAAAATGTTTATTTCCAATATAAGTGTATGTAAATTCGAAGATACAACTACATCGTGCAAGCAACTAAAAATAAATTGCGTTCCATTTGACGGACGATAAAATATTTCCGATCTGTAGTTATTCATAGTCCCTTCAAACATTTTTGTTAAATCGAGTTTTCGCGAATAATTCATGAAATGCAAAAATTCAAAAGGAAACATTAATTTATTGCAAAAACAAAATGCAACAAATTAAGATATTGTATTACGATGTAAATAATTCACGAAATGTGTTCTTAATTATACGATAACCTACTTCTGAAACAATATGGAGTGTATCGAACACGAAGAATTATCGTTATATTTCATCTCCTTTGTCTTAACAAAGATACAGTATAAAGGAAATTATTGATCCCAATTAATACGAAGTAAGAATTTAAACCCAATTTGATCTTGTTTATACTGCTGATCATTTAGATACAAACGGTGATTTTGGATTCCAAGGTACACGACTTCTTTGCCAATAGATTAACGCAGATATCACATCGAATTAGATTTTGGCAATAGTCGAAGCTTAATTCAAAACTCAACTTCGTCCGCCGTCGCGTGAACTCTGCATTATTTTATTTATAACAGGATGTTCGGCCAACCATGGGAAAAATTTTAACGGGAGATTCTAGAGGCCAAAATAAGACGAAAATCAAGAATACCAATTTGTTGATGGAGGCTTCGTTAAAAAGTTATTAACAATTAAATTCAAAAATTTCAAATCGTTCTGGAAAAATTATTTTCGGTTGCGGGGGTCAATTACAATCATTTTTTGTGAATAGACATACTCCCAAAATCCTAACCATTTTCGAGAAGAAAATTCAGGAAGGGGGACAAAGTCGATAAAATTTAAAAATTTCAAATCGTTCTGGAAAAATTATTTTCGGTTGCGGGGGTCAATTACAATCATTTTTTGTGAATAGACATACTCCCAAAATCCTAACCATTTTCGAGAAGAAAATTCAGGAAGGGGGACAAAGTCGATAAAATTTAAAAATTTCAAATCGTTCTGAAAAAAATTATTTTCGGTTGCGGGGGTCAATTACAATCATTTTTGGTGAATAGACATACTCCCAAAATCCTAACCATTTTCGAGAAGAAAATTCAGGAAGGGGGACAAAGTCGATAAAATTTAAAAATTTCAAATCGTTCTGGAAAAATTATTTTCGGTTTCGGGGGTCAATTACAATCATTGTTGGTGTATAGACATACCCCAAAATCCTAACCATTTCCGAGAAGAAAATTCAGGAAGGGGGACAAAGTCGATAAAATTTAAAAATTTCAAATCGTTCTGGAAAAATTATTTTCGGTTGCGGGGGTCAATTATAATCATTTTTGGTGAATAGACATACTCCCAAAATCCTAACCGTTTCCGAGAAAAAAATTCAGGAAGGGGGACAAAGTCGATAAAATTTAAAAATTTCAAATCGTTCTGGAAAAATTATTTTCGGTTGCGGGGGTCAATTACAATTATTTTTGATGAATAGACATACCCCCGAAATCTTGCGCATTTTCGAGAAAAAAATTCAGTATGGGCGGAACTTTAAACGTTAATAACTTTTTAACAAAGCCTTCATCAACAAATTGCTATTCTTGATTTTCGTCTTATTTTGGCCTCTAGAATCCCCCATTAAAATTTTTCCCAGGGTTGGCCAGGTTTCATGTTGCATCGGTGACTCAATAAATGTTAACGTAGCTGGAACAGGAAGTCTTGTGACACCCTGCATAGTCATCAAACTTCCATTTGCTCCGCTCTGTGCAACTTCCTGATAATCGATTTTAAAATATCGAATAGGTTCGAAAATTTATTATTTCACTCGAAAAAGAACTTCTCTCATTGCATTATTCGCCTTTTATCAAAACAATGGGAAAACGGTGGAAAATATTTTACAAAAACTTATGGAGACTTTTGCATTAAATTGGAAAATATTTAAATGAATAATAAGTGCCTTAAAAGAGTTTGCATAATTCTAATAATAATTATTTATTTTACGTCCAGCTTAATCCCGATGTCAATGCTTTTCAACGAAAGTTCGTCAGCGAGGTGCGTCGTTGCGACGAGATGGAACGTAAATTAAGGTATTTGGAAAAAGAGATTAAGAAAGATGATATCCCTATGCTCGACACTGGTGAGAATCCGGAGGCGCCACAGCCTCGTGAAATGATAGATTTGGAGGCGACGTTTGAAAAGTTAGAGAACGAGCTGCGGGAAGTAAATCAAAACGCGGAGGCTCTGAAACGTAATTACTTGGAGCTGACTGAATTGAAACACATACTCAGGAAGACACAAGTATTCTTCGACGAGGTAAGAGCACTATCGTTAAACCTTATCTTTACGATATAATATGAAAACTGACCTCATGATACAATTTATAAGAATCGTCATATAATACTGTACATCTAATAATATAGCGCACATAAAAGTTTTATTGCGATGTAGTATCTTTATATGACGTACAGGTTGTCCAACAGATATTAGACAAATCGAAACATACAAGCTCTTCACGTTAAAACGAAAACGAAAGTAATTTACCATTTTGTCGTGAATCGTATACGATTTTAATGCGTGGAACATTGCGAAGACTAGCGAAAATGTACTTTAAAAATACTTTAAGATATTATTAACGTGACAATGTATGTAAACATATGTCTGCAAGCGTTTCTTGAGTGTATTTCCGCTAACATTTCTTGTAACACGGAAACGATGTACTGGATTACAAAATGGTACAGAAGTTGTTTATTTCTTTTGTCTTGAAGAATTTACATGCTTTGCTTTGTCGAATAAGTTCGGGGCACTCTGTATACCATGTATGTATTATATATTATATGCATATGAGATGGGCAATGGTTACACTGAAATCGCAGCATTGTTTCTAACGATACGAGAAAAGTTTTAAAAAAGGAGTATTTAATTAAAAAGTGATAAAAATTGTTTTTTTTTCTTATAAGGGAATGGATGAGAGGGAGAGAAAGAGAGAGAGATATGCTACAACTCTCAAGACAAGCAGAATGCTTATGACAATAAAGTGTTGTAACACAAAAATTGGTGTATCCGGTGGAGGGTGTTGTAAAAATGTACTGGGATGTTCTAAGCTGAAATTTCAGGAACTAATACCATAGAGGGTGTTCAGCTAACCCTGGGAAAAATTTTAATAGGAGATTCTGGAGGTAAAAATAGGACAAAAATCAAGAATACTAATTTGTTGATTGAGACTTCGTTAAAAAGTTATTAACGTTTAAAGTTCCGCCTGTAAGACGACAATCTGTGAACAGCTGCGCATGCGTGATAGTGGTTCTCGCTTAGAAAACTGTAACGCTGTCGATGAGTCAGTAAGCGTTTCTCATACTGAGAGAGAACTTAACGTTCTACAAGCGGAACTTTAAACGCTAATAACTTTTTAATGAAGTCTCAATCAACAAATTGTCATTCTTGATTTTTGTTTTATTTTGACCTCTAGAATCCCTCATTGACATTTTTCCCAGGGGTGGCCGTACACCCTGTATACATTTTGCACATTATACTGACCAGAGTTTGGGTTAGGGTACTGTTTTATTTGAGTCCTTATTCACATAATTTTTGTTTGTATGGACGATGTCCATTTACGCGTCTACGTTGCAAAAAGCAATCTGTATATTTGCTTGTAGAAATTCTGTTTCTGGAACAAAATTCTACCGTGTTTTGCTTGAATGTGCATCATTACACTCTTTCTGTTTAAGATAAAAAATGGTAAAAAAAAAAACAAATTTTTTATCGCATAAAACCTCCCTTTGTTAAACTTTTTTCGTATCGGCATAAACAATCGGAACATTTCAGTTGTTTCTTTGGCCGACTCCGCCTTGTATACATACTGGTTGGAAATACTTAGGTTTTATACAAAGTTGTTAGCAATAATAAATAATTTTATTGAAATAAAATTTTCTATAGGTTTTGAAACTTTAATATTTGATATAAGACAATTTTAATAGAAATCGTGTTTATTAAAAGAAGTATAATTATATGTTTTAAAGTACAACAGGAAATGTACATTACGCTTTTGCCAAATTTTAACAAAATAATTACAATTTTCGACGTTCCGATATATATACTAATCTATACTTTCTGTCTTTGTTTTTACAATTTTTGTATACTGTATTATGTATGTATTAATACATATTCTGCTCTAGATATAATTCGTTTTGTTAAAACGATAGCTGAGGAATTTGAAAATAATACAAAACGAAATTATATAAATATTTAAAAGTAACACATTATAATTATTTATGTCTGAATATTATGCAATATAAATTGGCATTTTGTTTCTTGCATTTGTAACTTTGCACAATCAGATATGTAGATGTACTTTTTTTTTTATAAGACATCAAAATAATCATATGTATATTCTTATGTATTTTGATATATACTATACTACTAACCATTTTTTTTATACGAAACGTTTTACAAGAACAAACTTTTGATACATATAATTATATGATTCATTAACTGTGGATGTAAGTATAGCTTGTAAAGCTATACAAGTGATTAAGATGCATGTAAATGGAAATTGTGCATTATGTGTCTAATATCAATGCCTTTTCTGCAGTTGCTTTGCAATTTTGTATAAGCGGAACAAATTTATTTTACAATATACAAACTGGTAGTTTATAAAGAGAGCATTAATATTGCTAATAATACCAAGTCAGACAACCGTTGACATTAGATTGTGTTTGTTTTGTGTTACTAATAATACTGTTGAGTGATTTTAGGACTATTAATGTGTTAGTGTTGCCAACTAACTAAGTTGCAGAATTGCAAAAGACACAAGTCACTATTTAAGCCCTATCTCCCTATGTCCCTTATATCTCCCTTGTTTCTACATCGCATATTCTTATTAAATTCCCCAGTATCTCATTCGTGATTATTTTCTAAGTGTTTGTTATTCGTTGATAATACATGCATCGAAAAATATTTTGCATTTATGTATAAAAGTAAACAAGCTTAATATTAATTTTTAGAACCGAAGTTCTTTCTTGCATTTAAGAACATTTCTGTGACCATATGTGATATTGTTAAGTAGTCCCTCTAGAGATCGTTTTTATACTCAAACACTTTAATACATATACACTATTAAATTTATTATATCTAAACATTTATTACACTATCTATTAAATTTACTAGATGAAATTGTTCGTATATATCTTTTTATAATCGTAGTCATTTGTTATTCCCGTTTTATCTTTTAAAGTATAGAGCATTACTCAAATATTTTCCCACGCGCATCGAACCCCCAAATTCCTTTCTTTCTCTTTATTATCCAAATTTTGTCTTTCATATTTTAGTTATGGATTTTATGTTATGTATAATACAATACTATATACGAAGTATCGTTTTGTCGATCTGTTAGTGGTAAAAAAATATTTATCACGACTTTCAAAAATAAATCCATCAATAAAAAATGTATCCGAATGAGTGAATATTTTGTTTTGTTGCACTCTGTATTCCATAACGATACATTATAGTAATAGTAACGGTAACAGTATATAAAATAAAATTATCACCTCATCCCTGGAAATAATTCTATTCAACTTAATTGACGAAAATTTTAACAATCTTTCGTGAAAAACTATTTATTTTACGATATACGATTCTATTTAATCTTCCTATTCTATCAATAAATAAAACACGTTCAAATAATATTAAAATTTTACCTTACATTTTAATTTCAATATGAATTTTGCATCAAAATTTTTTAGAAATTTTCTACTTGCTTAATTGTCCCGATTTATTCTTGAAAGCCATGATAAATATATTTTTTTATCCTATATAACGATGCACCTTGAAAGTGTAATTGCATTTCTCTATATGGAATCATATGTTCCTTTATAAATCGATTCTCCCTATTATTCTATAAGTACGAATGTTAAAGCTAGGTATTTGATAAATGCTAGCAATAAAAATTCTAAACATAAAAACAAGAATATATATGTATATATAATATATAATAGTATAGTGCTACATTATTTTTGAAATTAAAAAACGATATTCCAAAGGCTACTGGTAAAGTATAACCGCCAAAGAATGCAATACAAGTCAAAATATCTCTCAGAATATTTATTTTTAGTATATGTTGCGTTTTCTATCAAATGAAACGTATTTTTATCCAAAGAATAATTAAAAGAATAAAGAAAATACATAGTAGGTAGTTCTTTCCGCGTAACGGTAAACATCTTACACATGCGCACTTATAACATAGACTCGCTGGAAAGCCAGGAGGAAACAGATGGCGCCATTGTCGACAATCGCGAACCTATTTAGTTTGGGCCCGGAATTCGCCCGCTATTGACCGATTTCCAACAGTATATCTTACTGAAATTACTATTTTTATATGCAGGATAATGCGGAGAATCGATATACATAAAAAGAAATGTACAATTGCACTTTGCAAATGCATTAAATTCAAATTTGTGGTCTATTAATATTTTCTATCTGCAATCGGAAAAGAGGATGACCTTGGAATTGACCCTAGGATGATTTTGGGAATATTTAAGACTTTTATCAGTTTTGAATTAGATGAATTTGTAGCATTCATAAAAAGAAAGTAATATTTGTATAAAATATTGATATATTTCAGCTTACGATAAATCGAATCAAATTTGTTTTAATGATTTCATGCTTTTCTTCGTTATAATTAAAGAAAACAGTATCATTGGTAAATAATCTCGAAATGAGGCGGGTCAAGCAAGGCCCCAGAAATCCTCCTAGGGTTAAATCATTTAATTTTCGAAATCTAGCCGTTATAAAATTGTTACACTAACACGTTCGTTGCCGTGCCTCCGTAATAAATCCCTTCCCCATGTACCGCGTCGTTTTGTATGTCTCCCAGTTTTTCTAAGTTGTTAAGTCAAACAAGAAATTAACACGGGAATACTACCAGCGTGCCAACTGTCCCTGCGTTGAGAAATTCAAACAGACTCGTGGCGACGAGCGCAAACTTTAAACAGAAATTAAAGTATTCGTAAAAGTGGCGTTCGTAACGTGATACAAAAAGAACAAAAATTCACACCCGATATACATACATTCGAGTCTCGTTTTAATTTAAAAAAAAATTATTTTCTTTCGAATTTCACGATTTTTGAATATCTCGGGACCTTAAATAACTCTCTACGCGAGTTCGGAAGCGAACGTGTTAAGTTTAGGAATTTAAATGAACGTTTTAAAAAATAAATTTCGTCTGGTCGCCTAATACCTAATAGGCTAGATTAAACAACACCTTATATGCAACAATTTTTTTTTTAAATTTGCCAGCCTATAAGTCAGAGTTTTCGAAA